TGTGTGCGCGCGCTTTTGTTTGTATTACCTTGTGGGGACCAGAGCCTGGTCCCCACGAGGGGAAACCCTGTTTTTGGGTCAGGGGTCAGATTTAGGGCTAATGTATGAATTGAGTTTTGGTTAGGGTTAGGTATGTATGTGATGGTTAGGGTTAGGAAAAGGGTAAAGGTAAGGTTTAGGCTGTAGAAATGAATGGAAGTCAATGGAAAGTCCCCACAAAGATAGCCAGACAGACGTGTGTGTGTGTGTGTGTGTGTGTGTGTGTGTGTGTGTGTGTGTGTTAGGGATCATAACAGCAGCAGAGTTACATGTGAACCCATTCTTGTTGATGGTTTTCCCTCTGGGTTTCTGCCTCGCCTTTGCCAGATCGTTTTGCCGCACATTTTAATTTGTGTAGAAAACAAACAAAGCGAACAAACAAACCACAAAAAAAAAAAAAGTACATTACTTTTCATTTCTGAATTTAGTTCCAGGCATATTGGTTAACAAACCAGGGTGAAAACAGCTGCGTGCGTTCTTGCAAGATAAGAAGCCGAATGTTGATGGGAAAGCTGACAGAGATTCAAGGACAGATACCAGGAGAGAAACAAAACAAAAGAGGTGGAGATCAGGGAAACACGGCAAACAAATACAGATTACAGAAACTCCATAGAGCTCTTAGGTTTCCCCAAAGTGTGCTCCTCCAAAGCCCTATCAAACTTCTTCTGAGTATTATTGATCGAAAGCTAACACTCTTGCCGAGCCATATCCTCCGAGGAGGCGGCTATCTGCAAGCCATGCACTCTGCTCTAGTTACCCACTCTCCCCTCACTAACCCTGCTGCGCCATCAGCCATGAATCTATAAGACTTAGTCACACCTGTGTGGCCCGGAGCAAGTCAGCGTCCAGACAAAGCAGTGTTTTGTTCTCCTGTTCAACAAATCTCAGACTTCTCCATCAATTTTGGTTTTCTAAAAAAAAAAAATTCTAAATTATTTTATATTGCAGAAGGGTTTCCCCACATTTGCTGAAATATTAAACTAAAGTCTACTGTGCGTAATCAAAAGTAGAGGAAATAGTAGCTTAATACAAATGGGAACTTGCTGGTGCAATTCTTCCAGGCTAATTCTGGAAGAAAATGTCTTTTTTTCTTTTTTCTTTTTTTTTTTTTTTTGCTAGGATAAAAGTTCAGCCTCCAGTGGTCTACTTATGAGCACTGAATATAAAAAGGACTTCAGTGTGTTTTTTTGGGGGAAAAAAAATAATCTAAAAACAAAGTTTTTATATTATGTTGCATTGGGGTACCATATAAAATCACATTAAAAATAACAAAATTTATGAAAACTTTTGCTTGATAATGTGAATACACCTGATTGGTGCATGAATTGCAATAAAATGTGTTAACCCCGATTATTTCCATGACTGTAGTCACAAAAACCTTTTGTCTGTCTAGTTTAACCAGAATCGGCTGCAGAAACTGTCCAGTAGTTTATCAGGACTCATAATTTACCGTAACCACCAGGAAAAGAACCGTCTTTGCTCAAAAAAGTTACGTTTCTGGTATTTAAGCAACACTTGTTTGGACAGCTCCTCTGCCTGTCTGCTCAGAGCTCCACTCATTTCAGCACCATGGAGAGCTCAGCATCCACCAGGACGGTTTGGACCGTCTAACACAACTGCAGGCCCCCTGCTGCTGCATCATGGAGCTAATCAGCTAACCTCTGGGTCAGCTGCTGTAAATCCCCTCAGCTGTATTTGCTACAAGCGGAGCCTTCGTGCTTTATAAAATATTAATTAGTTGTTTATTTTGTTCTTTGCATTAAACATTTCACTTAATTCTTTCCCCTTTAGCTTTGAGGGGGAAAAAGAGAAGACTCTCAAATACAAAGAGTTGTCTGATATCAGTAATGTATTACACTGGGTCTATTAATTGTGCTACAAAACTCCCGCCATCGATTTGTCCGGGGTAAACTCTCGCTCTCATATTTCATTACTGCAGCCTGGGAGAACATGAAACCGGCAACTTTTTAAATAGAAATCTTCTTGGCGGGATCAATGGGCAGCGCCGTGTTAATGGAAAGTAAAGCATTATTTCTAATAACGCCGTGCCTCAGATGTTCATTTATGCATGTGTGCCATCTGCGGCGCACGGCAAGGGAAGCTGTTTTTGGTTTTCCTCTGATAAAGGCGCCGAGTCGGAACACACAGTGAAAAAAAATTAAATAAATATTCCCACATCCAAATTGCTTTGTTCTTCAGCTGTAAACAAAATCACATTGTTGATTGGCAATTATGTATTTGTTTCAAGTATGTTTTCCTTTTTTTCTTTTCTGTTTTTTGAGACAGTAACAAAGCCTGCCACTTTCCCAACCTCACTGTAATTTTCTTTTTTCATTTTTCTTATTCTTTATTCTCCGATAACTCCAAACAGATCTGCGGTTGTGAGCTTCGGCAGCTAACAGTGGAAATAACAGAACAATGTGGGCTTAACGGCCCTTAACAGGCTTTACACAGCTTTCGCTTTGTGGAATTTGGACGCTAAACGCTTCACTGTTGATTCAGGCATTGTGTGACGATAAACAGACAGAGAGAGAGAGCCATTGTGTGACGACAAACAAAAGGTGACAATTTTCTCTGATTCCTTACGTTTTATTAAATCAGCTCCGTTCGGTGACGTTCTCCTCCTCTGAAACATTCAGCTGCTTTTCTTGTGCAGTGCAGCTGGAAAGCGACGTCACAGAGCTTCAGAATGACTGAGCGGATCTGGATATCGGCTCTGTGCCGTAGAGCGGTATAAGGGGCTGCAGCAGAGAAGAGCCTGGGCAATCTCTGCCTCCATTCTTCTGTCTCCTGTCTAAATCAGCCATTGTGTCCAAAGCGCTAAGAGGTTTTCAGCACCTTGGATTTTCTTTCTTTTACCCCAGATAAGCTTTTTTTTTTTTTTCACCCTTTTCTCACAACTTTTCTCCTACTTTATGTGTGTGAACGCAAATCTATGTAGCACAGACTGTAGGACCTCCCTACAGAGAGAATACTGCTATATAGTGCTTTTTATGATGAATTAGAGGTGTTTTTGTGTGTGTGTTAAATCAGTTGGTTGACCCCTTTGTTTATTTCCCTGACAGTGCTTATATGTCGACTCGTTAATGGCAAGTATTGGTCTCAGGAGGCAAACAGCCGTGAAAACACCCAGTCAGGCCTGTTTCTGTACAAGCCAAGGGTTGTTTGTTTTTTTCTCTATTTTTTGTTTTAATGTCTGGAGTTTTAAGTTGTGTTTTTGTGTAGGAATCCACTTTTTTCCACTCTGATTCTGATACAGATATCGGAGGTTTAGTATCGGCCGATACAGGGAAAGAAAGTGATGGATTGATTTAAAATGTTTTTTATATATAAACAGACATAAATGTAGTGAATTATAAATTTGTTTGATAACTATGCACCAGCTCAGCACACATAAATACACCAATAGCTTCATAAGCTATCAGTCAAACATGTAAAAACATCTTTACTGTCTTTACTGTGTTGAGTCAGTACAGTTAGGCTCATATGAGTTACTGCAAATCAAATGATAAAAAAACTGAAACTAACAAAAAGTGGAATAGATTTGCCAAAAATGTAAGAATAAACTGCAACAAGCATTTCAGTGGTTCAGAAAGCTAATTATGAATTCTAAATGCAACACTGGGTTACAAAAACAATATTGTTTGGAAGTTGTCTATTATTTTTCAACTGAATTAGGACTATTTTTGCACCGCTGAAATGGTGACATCCATTTTTCACAATCAGGTCAGGTTTTTATTCTAATTTCATTTAGAGAAATCTGATCATCTGACTAAATTGGTGATATTTTTGTGACATTATCAGTTCATTTCTGTTAATATTTCTCATGCAAAAAAGGTTTTAGGAGAATTTATTCTTTTTAAATCAATTAAATCTTACAAACTTGTATTTCTGTAAATTGCATAATAAACACTTAATAGTGTACATGTGAATTGAACATTACGTCTTCATTGTAAAATTCTCCGTCTCTTCCCTGTCCTGATGGAATCTCTCCTCCTGCTCATCACTCATTGATCAGATTCTCCAGATGTGAGAACAAGTCCTGCATTTTGATGCTCATGTTGCTCCATAGTTCAGAAAGTTGACCTGATTGAGCAAAAGCAATGTGATTTTAGGACTCAGCTCATTGACATGACCCTAAAACAGATGAAAAACCCCAGACAAGTTTTTGGCTGTTGATCAGTGCAATGTAAAATAAATAATAAAGTGTGACATCGCTCAGAGCACAAAGTGTAGAAATAGACTGAACAGGTCAGACAGATTGTCACAGATGCCCAATCTAGAATTTTTTTTTCAATATCAGGATTGATACAAATATTAATATTGTATCGGTGAATCTCTGTTGATCCATGAAGTCGGTTGACATGCAGGTGTGATCTTATTATCAGGCTTTTGAGGTTTTGTTCTCCATAACTTCCCTCTGTATATGTTTCTAGTTACTTCCAGTGGTGTGTCGCTGCCTTCAGCTTCGCTGTGCTGCTGGTTTATGTATCTTAAATAAGGGCAGAGTGTATTCTGGTGTAATCAAAGCTCAGCGGAAGAAGTGCTGACTGGGGGCCGGCCGACGTTTGGGCTGCCGGTTTCGTGTTGGGTCACGGTGTAAATGCAGCGATGAGGTCACGCCGTGTTAAGTCCGAGCCTCTTAGTGCACTTAAGGTAGCCGCAGAATATCTATGTAAGCTCTTTCCCAGTGCATAAATTGTGTCTGATGGCATGTGCAACGTCAGAACTTTTTTTTTTTTCACAGCAGAGGAAATACTCCGGTGATTTATGGGGCACAGCACTTCTGTTTACTGTGCAGAATGAGGGCGTGTGCAGCGTCGCATTTTTTCCCCCCTGCATGCATGGGATTGTGCAGGACAGCATTCAGTTATGTGAGATTAGAAGATGGAATCCGTAGTGGCGCATGTTGCATAAAAACTCATCACTGACTGTGTACCTATTGAATGTTTCAGATTTTTGCCACTATGACTTTTCAGAGTGGCCCCAAGCTGGGATTCGAACCCAGAACCATCCTGCTGCTAGGCGACAGTGCTACCCTCTGCGTTGCCATGGAACCTGCTTATGTGTCTATTAAATACGATTCAGCTCAGACTGGTTGTAAAGCAGGGTTGGGCGTTTATCGTATTGTTTATCATTCATCGCGATAAATTTCTTATCATGATAGTGATTTTGATTTATCTCTGTCACAATAAATCCCAATTATTGATGTTTAAATTTCCCCAACACGTCGAGATTAGGGATGTGCCGATCAGGTTTTTTCCTCCCGATACCGATACCGGTCACCCATGAGGGCCGATACACCGATACCGATCACATAATTATTATTATCATAAACACTACTGGTTACATTATGTGGAAAAAGGAACCATGAATTCACCTTAATTTAGACAAAAACTTGTTTTTAATAACTTTTTTCAAGAAG